TAATAAAGAGAACGGAAGCATAGTTTGAAGCTCCGTCATTACTCGTGTTTCATTGCGTACAACCACCCATTTACAGATTCTACAGTTATTGACACAAACACAAATAGCAACATAAGAAAGTGTTAATGAAGTGTCATCCAAAAAGTAAACAGCATCAATAACAAGTCATGTATTCAAGTAAATATTTTATTTAGATCCGTGTATTGTAGAAACCAGAAAATTATTTTTTTAATAATGTTAGAATATCTACATAGAAAATTTTTTTGCGATATTTCTCTTCAACTCAATTCTCATGTTGCAAGCTTTGAGCATATGAAATACATTCACAAAGATCTGAATAACCTAAATACTGTACAACCGGCTGATTTATTTATTAAAATAAAATTAATTTACTCACATTTTCCTTTTGTTATCACCATTTTCGCGACCCTCCAAAACGTAAGAGACGAAAAGATAACTACAGATGAATAATAAAAGTATCAGAAGATTTCGTTTAACACCTTTCTTTAATGCCATCATCATGACTGCTGAAGGATTTATTCGAGATGTTTTGCACTGTTAACTTGATGAATGACACGTGTTCTCCTTTTACAAAAGTCTCTTCATTTTATGTTATAACAAATTTATGATTTCTGAGGAAGATTAAATTTATTTAAAACACTTATTAATATTATTAAATGCTGAGAGTTCGAGTGGAGGGATACAAATGAAGAATTCTACAACACTGCGAGTGAAAGAGACGGAGAAGATTCCGACAAAACACATGAAAGAGATAGAAACAAAATCACCATGAAGAACATCACTTGAAATATTTTTTTTCATATCTATTTCTTTGGAATGTTATGTAAATAAACAGGTGAATTAATAATTAATGTTCATTCTCATGATATTATTCTTTCACTTGATTAAATGCTCCTTAATGACTGCAGTACCAACACCCAGTAAAAATCGATTTTTAGAAGCTAAAAATTCTTCAAACTTTATACTCGAAAATAATTTTTCAAAACAAAATGCCAACTGAGTGTTTGCGAATTAAAATTCATTAACATTGACGTCAATATAACTGTACTTACTTAAATTTACAAAGTTGAAGCTCATTTATCGCTTGTTTTTAAACAGATTACATTTAGAACTAATGACTAAATAAGGGGTTTTCTCTATTTTTATTTTGCTATGCATTTGAAGAAAACAAAATTAATTGCGCATGATTGTTAGAACGAAAAACATTGCACAGGAAATTTTTCGCGCAATAATTTGAAAATGAAAAAATTTCCTCCAACCAAGTATGAAACTTTGTTCAAAATTACCTAACAACAATTGTCATTGATAATCACCGTCATGACAATTTTTTGCCATTAGATTTTAATTGTTCAAATGTTATTCTGATTCACATGATAAAACTAGTCACTTTACATAAATAAAATCACATGCGAGTCAATGTGACATTTTGTCAACAGGTAGTTAAAGTTAATCACAAAATTGTGCGTTGATCTCAATATTCAAACGAGAAAGAACTTCATCACTTTGCTTATGATTGTCAAATGAATGTGACAGAATTTTTGATATAAGCATACAACTGAGTATGATGAAGAAATTGTGTGACCGGTTTAATGGGAAAATCATATCTACGACTGTAAAGTTTCAATCACTACTAAGATAGCCGCAGTAACTTTTTCTCTCTTTCTTTAATTATGATTTAACACAATCTCACAGATTGTTTTTGCTTTATTCGTGACAAATTTGATAAACAATACTGATGTAGAAGATGTAATTCGAATCAAGCAAAAAGTTAAATCAAAATAGCTTTCAAGTATTAACACAAATACATATCGGATTCTCTGATATTTTATGTTGCTTTACATATTTCAACTCTTTCTAAAATCCATCTTCAAAAAGATCCTTTGCTTTTTCATTGAATGCTTTTTAAAGACTTAATTTATTTACAGCTGGTGAATCTGTGTTAAATGGGTGACTGTGATTGTCTGTAAATAGTTTAATTTAAGTGAATATATGTATAAAGTTATATTTGAAATGCTGGTATGAACAAATCCCATGATTGCAGTTGATATTATGTGACAAGTTATGCCTAGGAATTAATAAATGTTTCTGTGATATAGCACCCTTGATTGGATGATTGAATAACTATAGGAATTGCTGAATAATTCTCTGAATATCTCTCTGATCAAAGTACTTTCGTTCCAACTATTAATTAGATTTCTTTCAAGGATGTTAAAGAATTTTTATGCTTCTGAAAAACTTTCAATTAAGAATGACTTTTCGGTATATGATTTAATTCGACACAACAGTAGCGTGTGAAGTTTGCATATTCTTTAGAATAAGTTGTTTAAATAAGATAAAAAAATTAAACAAACTACGATTCCTAACTTTTAGTTTTTCTTTTATGATGGCAATAATTTTTTTTCTTTCTTATGTCAACAAAAAAAAATAATTTGCCGATACTTAAAAAAGTCATTGTAGGTAAACATAAAAATTTGTTTATTCATTTCACTCACTAAATAAATACAAAATCTAAAAATTAAATCACACTTTGAATGATGGATTGTCATATTGACTGTCTGACATTGTTTCATTCGTCTCACTTCTTCGCGATTTAATTATTTTATGAACAAATTTTTTGGTTCCAGTTAAAAATGTCAGCACAAAATGCATAAATACGAGAAAGGCGACAGTTGAAAGTGCAAATATTATTGCATTTTGCGTATCGTTTTTCCAATCAAGAACGGAATAAATGTAGTTGTTGTAGTCTCTGTCAACTCCACCAAGAAGTGTGTAAGGTAAGCTGAAGAAATAACCATAAAACACTCCAAAGCTTAATGGGTAAACGAAATGTCCATAACGAGGTGGATGAGCGTTCACAAAAATGTCAATAAAAAAGACAATCGCATTTCCCGCATGAGTCAATGCATCGTTCAAGCCTTTGTCTCTTCCAGTGTAAATTAAAGGCCAATAAATACATGACAACGATATGCTTACAACTGTTGATAATGTCGTCAAAAGCCAATAAATTTTGAATGACTTGGGCATACGATTTTCTTCATTTTCAAAGCTTATCTTTACTTTGTAATAAAATGTAACGAGAATAGCACCAAATAGCGAAGTTATTGCGTTTAAAATCACGTTCCAATTCGTCAAATATATCAGATAAAATTCCAACTGTTTGCACTCTTCGCCTGTATAGATCGAAAGTACCAACACGAAATTGAAGTAAAATGAGAGAATCCATCGATAAATTAAATATTTCACTGAAGGTCGTCGCTCATTTTGCCACTGAAAGTTTAAACAAAATATTTATGTTTAAGTAAATATTTAACTAAATAAACAATCTTTATTGCTTTTCACCTACTTCGGATGTAACAAAACTTTCTGGCGCTTCATACTCAAAGCCAAAATTCAACTGTTTATAACAGTTCATTGTTGTCAACTCACAACTTCTTCTCTCAGACTGGTTTAATATTTTTTTGTTGTGCAAATGCAGAAACAATTTTTACGTAAGAGAGTGAAATATTCGAGAGGGGAACACTTTGGTAGTCTACACAAACCTTTACAACGCTCGCTATACATGTCATACTCGAAGTTTTTATTTTTTCAAAATTATGCGAGATAAAATCTTGTCTGAGTTTAATAAATTTTGCAATGACAAGGTGAGTTAAAATAGCTTTGCTTCCTAAATCATTAATAAATGATTAAATATTAGAAAAATCAACAGGAAGCATGAATGAATTAATAAAAGCAATTAAATATGCTCATTCGCAAGTTTATGGAGATCCACGACTAACACCTTTAAAAAAAAATTTTTATCAGGCACTT